CACCCTCACACACACCACCCACCCTCACCCACAGCCTACACCCTTACCCACACCCAAACCCCACCCCACACCCACACCCCACCCACACCCATACCCACACCACCCACCCACAATAATCTGAATAATTTAATTCAACATTTAATTACTAACTTTAATTTAATTCAAAATGCAGTCAATAGTTATAACGATTCCATTAACAATTTAATTAATAATCAAAATGCAATATTATTGATTATATTATATGAAATAAGAAGAATGAATACGCGTCGGGATACATAAATTTTTTTTCTTTTTTTTGTTTTTTCTTCTTTCTCCTTTCTCCTTTCTTCGTTTTTCATCTTGATGATTCTTCTTTCATCTTGTTGATTAGTTTTTTTTTTGTTCAATAAATTATTTCTTCAAGTTTATCTTGTTTTTCTTAATTATCAAGCAGTGTCGGTGTGGGTAGAGGTGTGGCTGCTGGTGTGGGTGTGGATGGACGTCAGAGTAAGTCCATCATCAATATCCACACCAACATCATTGAATAGAGCTCATCGAGTTGTACTTGGAACACAAATGGAACATCTGGATCATGTTCTAGAACGAATCCCTGCTAATTTTACTTGAATCTTTTGCTAACTTCACCTACATTAAATTCTTGGATAATATAATAAGGGTGTTTATTTTCTATTATCCAGGATTTATTGTTATTCATCTAAGTTTTATCTTGCTTCTCATTCAAGTTGTTATTCATAATTCAGATCTGTTATTCATCATGTAGTTTTTTTGTTGCTCATGTTCTAGGTCTTTTTTATTTTATGTAGTATCATTAGAATGATCATATAATAGAAAGAGAACGTAGCTTCTCAAAAGAGATACTTTTTAAATAAGCATTCAGCTATTTAAGTATTTAGATAGTTATTGCAGTAGATTTAGCTACAATATTTTGTAATAAATCTAGCAACGATAATGAAAATGGAGGACCATACTGGTTGATAAAAAAGGTGAGCGAACAAAAACATTTAACACAAGTGTTGACTTATCAAATGATCATCTTAATTTTATTTCATGGAAAGAGTCGTAGCCATTTGAGGCTAGTCTTCACTAAAAACAAGAAATTGAAATAAACTTCATCTAATATTTTACTTCACTGATGAAAATATTTAAAAGATGAAAATGAACTATTCACATATATGCAATACTATTTGATATAAATAATTTGCATTATTTATTATTTAAGAAAATTGATCAAGAAACGAATATCAATGAACAACATGTTAAGCATGCTTTATTACCGTTAGTTATGAGTAAGACGACAGAGCCAATACTTCTTAAAGAGTCTAAAAGCAACAATATTCAATGGACTGATAGAGTTCATGTCAATGATTCATTTGTATCAAAAAGTTACTCTGTAAAAGAGACTTCAATTTTGAAGAAAACTGAAAGCCTTCAGGAGCAGGAAGAACCTCAAAATAGAATCGTCGTAGATTGTTGTCATGAAATTGATGACACAACTGTACGAATAACGAAGACACATGAAGTCATAGAACATAATGTACTAATTAATGAAATGTATTTTGTAAACTCAGCACGTTTTCTGTGGAATCTAGAATTAATCGAAAATCGACTTGAAGTACTAATCAAACGTAACTTCTTATAACGATCAAGGGACAATTGGTATGTTGGCTCAGTCGGTAATAAATCTGGTTTTATTCTATTTGTTGTTTTGTTAGGAATGAATACAATAATGTAACTTGAATGTCAAGACGAGGCATACAATGGGTTATTTAAATTCAATCTGAATTTAAAAATAAAAAAGAGCACTTGATTTCAAATTGAAATAGGGGACTAAGGGGGCTAAGCTGACTGACTAAGGGGACTAAGCTGACTAACTAAGGGGACTAAGCGGACTAAGCGGGCTATTCAGTGAGGAAGCGTGTTTCCCCACCTAACACACCTTTTATTTCAGCGTCGCGGCGTGGAGGCGCGAAGCGCCCCCGAAGAGCCGCGACCCATGCACGTCTCTGTGTACACCATTATTCCTACCCTTAGGCCGGTTAGTTAGTCCCCTTAGTTAGTCAGCTTAGTCCCCTTAGTCCTCCTAGCCCACCCTCAAAAAAGGTACTATAGATATACCATATGTCGACTGAATTCTATATATGTTATGTATGTATCCATAGTAGCCTTTCTTATAAGGAACAGGAGACAAGATACCAAAGAATTTTTCCATTCTGAATTTAAAGAATTTCTTAGTCCCCTTAGTTCCTCTGCCTTGGTAAAAATGGGCTGTTATTTTTTTTTCAAAATTCAATTTGAATTAAAAAAACCCATAGACTCAGACGAGGAAACATTTTACAATTTATATATTTGTTGTTCAAGTTTCTTATGTTTATTTTTAACCCAGCATTATGTAAAGCTAACTTTTCATTAAAAGTGGATATAAATGTTGTTGACATAGAAAGTTTAGATGAAATTTTCTCTTTCATAATTAGAATGCTTTTTTCACGAAATATACCAATTTTCATTGAATAAAGTTCTCTAGAAAGCGTTTTCACAAACTATGTAATGTGTTGATGATACTAGTGGGTGTGGGTGACGGTGTGCATGTTTTTCTTCTTTTTACCTACATCTGCCCAACCCTCAGTGCAGGTTTTTTTTCACAGCATAATAAAATATCAAAAACTACGTAGTTAATTTTGATTGTTTATATACTATTAATATAACTGTAATGTATGCTCCGATTGTATGTAAACAGATTCATGTTTGAGAATTGTATTTCGTTCTAAAAAAATAAAATATGACATGATCATCAACGAATTAAATTTTTAGATATTTTTGTGTTGCTTCATTATGGATATAATAGAAATTCTAAACATAAAAAAATTAATTGAAGTGTTCATTGATCAGAAATGAATAATTTGAAGATATAGATTATTTTCATGTTTTTATTTCAATTGATATAAATCTGCGATATATTTTGTCCTGAACATGTCTTTTAATAAAACAATAGATAATATTGTTTTAGAACAAATGTTCGAACTAGAATATATGGGAACTACTAGATGTTTGTTGGCTATTTCTTTTGAATAAAAGCCAAAAAAACAGCCAATTGTTTTAGTTGAATAAATAAAAGAATAGAAGAGACGATAAAAAAGATTGGTCTTGTTTTTGGTGTATTGATTTCAACAACTGTTGTATCAAGTTCAATATACCGGTCAGTTGTTCTAATGCATGGTATATCATCCACAGCTGCTGGTATGAAAGAATTAGCTGGTTGGATTCGGACATCTTTTCCTGGTATTTATATTATATCAGTTGAAATCGGTAATGGTAAAGAAGATTCATTTTTATTACCAATTCATAAACGAGTTGAACAATTTTGTGATATTGTTAATAGTGATGAACATCTTCGTCAAGGTTTTAATATGGTTGGATATTCTCAAGGAAGTATTATTGTACGTGGTGCAATTGAAAGATGTTCATTACCTGTTTATAATTTAATAACATTAAGTGGTATATATCAAGGAGTTTTTAGTGTACCCTATGTTTTACAACTTCCTGCAGAATTTCGTGACTTAATTACCAAATATGCACATGAAAATCCAGTACAAAATGCAATTAGTGTAGCAAATTATTGGCGTGATCCTTATCAGTTGAATAGATTTATATCTGATTGTCATTTTCTTCCAGATATAAATAATGAACGTGGAGTACCAAATCAAATATATCGTTAAAATATGATTAGTTTAAATGCATTTATTATGACCTATTCTGATATTGATGAAGTAGTTAAGCCAAAAGAATCAGGTTCATTTATGAGTTCTCAACCAAATTCACCTGAGGTTGAGTTATGGAATAGTTCAAGACAATTTAAAGAAGGCCTTATTAGATTAAGAACATTATGGGAACAAAAAAAATTATTCACTTTTACTTCTCATGTACGTCATCAAGATATTACATATGCACCTAATAAAGATTTTATTATGAAATATATTTTACACGTAAGGGAAGTTAGCACAAGATTCGAGTAAAACCCGCCAAGATTCGTCCAGAAACATGTTCCAAGCGTTCCATTCATGTTCCAAGTACAACTCAATGAGCCCTATCGAATGGTGTATTCAGATTCACGATAGCTCAAACCGAATCCGAGATATTCGGAAAATACTAGATTTTCACCATAGGCAACTTTCCATCCATATAGTAAAACCTGCCAAGATTCGCCCTGTGACATGTTCCATGTATGTTCCAGGTACAACTCAGTGAGCTCTATCGAATGGTGTATTCCGATTTTCCATAGCTCAAACTGTGCTTCAGAAAATTCAAAAATACTAGTGAATCACCACAGGAATTCTGGATTTTATATAATAAAAGCTGCCAAGATTCGTCCAGGAACATGTTCCAAGTGTTCCATTCATGTTCCAAGTACAACTTGACGAGCTCTATCTAACGATATATTCAGATTTTCTGTGGCTCAAACTGTGTGTGAAAAAAGTCCCTGAATACGGGCACACCGCAGATGATGTTGGTACTGATATAGTAAATTTAGCCGAGATTGGTTCAGGATAATGTTCCAGATGTTCCATTTATGTTCCAAGTACAACTCGATGAGCTCTATCGGGGATGGGTGGTGTGGGTGTGGGTGCGAGTATGATTCTTCTGTCTATCTGTACCCACACCCTTCGCACCTTAAATACTTGAAGCTTTTGAATATTGAAGTATTGTTAGAGAACCATGCACGATCCTCTTGTGTTGCCTATGCTTTTATCATTCATATATCAAGTACAAAAATATAGTTTTAAAACATAAAACAAAAAAGTAATATTGCAATAGTATCAACAGCTAAGAGCTTGCATTAAAAATAGTTTGTTGGCTTATTTTTTTTACATTTAAAAATAGTAAAAATAATTTTATGCTAAGAATTAATGCTATTATTTTCCATTGCAGAATAAAATGAGCGCGGACATTTTTTGAAGAACTTTTAATTGACTGATGTTATCGAGTTCAGTATTCAGTATTGTAAAGAACTAGTCCTCAGACGTCTATTTGTATAATATTCGTTTGAATCAAAAAGACGTTTTCCATGACTGTTTGTAGGCTGATATGTTTTTCATTGTCTATTGTTATAGATTTTTATGATATATTAACCTTAACCTTAACTGTGTTGTAGTTCAAAGTGCTCTGTATACATAGTAAAATAATGACATCTCTATCGTACTTTTTCGACTTTTTTCTGCGACGAGATCATTTTACAATGTGATTATTTCGCCGCATATACAAGACAACTTAAGCTACAATCTGGTCTAGTTGGAGGTTAATTGATCATGAAAATTTATAAAAATAGAGAACGAAAACACATCAGTGTATCAACAATCATGAAAAAAGTTTTTGATCCTAACGAATGTTATAAAGATAGACGTCGTAGAATTCGCTGTTTACAATGTCGAAACCCCGAGTTTGATAACATGAGCCGATCAAAAGTTATTTAAAAATGTTTGCCTTGATTTAAACCTAAAATAGACAATCATTATAAAATCTTTGCTGTTTTTTTTCTAAAAACGTGCAGAAATTTATATGATTGACAATAATAACTGTTGAATATAACGATCAGAAGAAGATCTGTCATTTATCAACATTTGTTCCACTCAATTATTTATTCTCTTTAATGTCATGTTGCCGTTTTACACTGTATTTCTAAATAACTTTACCATAAAAGAGAATAACGTTATTAAATAGAAAGTGTACTGCCTCATTGACTTATTAATACAATGTAAAAATAGTTAAAAATGATCATATATCAATGAACTATTGAGTAATTTATTTCCTGGCCTTTTTCAGAAAAACACTTCTCGTTGTTACGTGATAAGAATAGATATATTATATATTTATTTATAATTAACGATAGAAATAACATAAGAAATGTATTTGACACATTTCATTCAGATATATGATATGAAGAAAATGAGAATTATATTCAACAAAACAAGTATTTTATAAAGATAAAATATTTTTTGTTCGATATAAAACTAGTAACAATAAATTACATGATCTTCTCTCATTTAGTGGGTTTATTGATTTAAAAAAATATTTGCATTAATCATAAGCTAGAGTTCTTTTTAAAAGAATTGAAATTTGGCGCGACTGAATCGTGAATTTTCTTTAATTGTAACTATTTGAAGTTATTGATTTTATTGGATAACGCTCATTTACTATACGTGACAAACATTTCAGCGAATTTGAAGTATTTCTTCTCTGACATATTATTAGATGATGATAGGAACTAATTATTAATTGATTGTTCAAAGTTAGATATGATTCAAATGATGGAGAGTGGTGATAAATATTCGATATCTAAGATAAACGGTACTCGAATAAGTGCTTCTCTCACACAAATGGTAAAATAATTTTGCAACGAAACGTATTTAATATATCAAAATAATTCTTTTTCTTTTCAAATTATTCACAAACGTTTTGATTTCTAAATCTATGTTTTCTTTTCTTGATTTTAGAATTCGCTTGAAGCTAATCCGTCACCTAACATTTTACTTACGAAATTAAATATTCCATTAAATTGTGTTGATAATTATCAAATTCGACAACATTATCTTGAAGAATATTCAGCTAAATATTCGAAAGCAAAACATTTATTAAGCAATGCTCGGAAAAAACAACGAAGTACATAAATTTCATCTCGTATAATGCATACAATAATTCTTTCATGTAATAAATGATTTTTTTCAGAAATTATTATGACTTATTATGAAGCAAAAGAAAAAGAAAATAATATTGATGAATTACAAATAATTAAAGAATCATTACTTGAAGAAAATGAAAAAATAAAAAAATTTAAAGATGCTTTAAAAGATAAACTTATTATTTATCAACAACGTATACAATTTCTTAAAGTATAATCACAAGTTTTATGCATATATTTGATCTTTTTAACGTAAAAATTTCTTTTAATATAAGGATACTGAATTTTGGTCAAGATTTGAAATTCAACAATTACAAAGTAATACAGTTGAATCAATTGAAAATTGTACAGAAAAGTAAGTCACCTATGGCATTTTATCATGTAGGAATATATAATTAGTATAATAAGCTGTAAAATTTAGTTAGAAAATTTCGATTATGATTTGTTTGTATAATACAATAAAAATTAATTAATATAATCATCTGAGACTACAATGAATAAATATGAGTTATAAATTAACATTCATTCTAGTTCTCCAGAATTATCTACGACCAAAGATAGTCTTCATCTATTACATGGTAACAACAGAAACATCTTTTTTGTAATTTTAAAAAATTATTTTTAGATCTTGAACAAATAAAATATCCAATGTGAGATAATTAAACTTTTGTGTTTCTTATTTTATTTGTTTTATTTCTTTAGTAATCTTCTTGATGATTTATGTCCAACTACTAATCCTGATGAATATTATTCTAAATTAAAATCAGATGAAAATAATTTTTCTCCTGTAAATAGTAATGATAATAATAAAATTAATCATCAATATGATAATAATGAAAGTAATATTATCTCACATCTAACAGATAATTATAAACTTCATGAAATTATTTTGAAATCTTCACAACGGTAAGAAAACATGAATCTTTTTTTTTTTTTAAGAATAAAAATAAATAATTTCAGATCACACACTAAATTCATGTCTGAAGTAAGTAAATTTTCATTGAAAATATTCAACAGTATTTTTAATACTTATTCATCATAAGTATAATCTAAAGGTATTTTACCAAATTATATCTTCTGTATTGTATAACATAATCTATTGATTCTCAATGATTAATATGATAAGATGGATGATTAAATATCCTCTTGTGTAGAGTGATTTTAGTATGATTATGTTGTTTTAAGTATATTTATTGATGATAGATTAAGAAGTAAATGTCATGTAAACGAACTATAAGGTTATTGAATAAGAATAATCAATAATGAGGAATATCCTTGATATAATTTTAGTTTTCATAAATAATCATCTAAAGAGATTTCGAATATTTAAAAAACTTTTTAACTTTGAAAATCGTTTTATTAAAAATAAGAAATAAAGTATTTATTTGAATCAATAGTTAGATTTACATCGCATTGCTGTCTTTTTCTAGTGAAAAAGAATTTTTTTTCTCACATATATTAATCTTGATTACTAATAATCTCTAAATAAAATACAGTAAAAACCATCATTGATTATTTGATCATCAATATTAACATAATTCTGTGTAAATTAACATTAAAAAATATGTGTTCTTGAAAGTTTCAGTACTAATATAAAGTGATGTATGTTATCTAACGTCAACAGAACATTTGAGCAATTGAACAACTACTTTTTATATCAACCAATAAGCACACATTTATGTAATCATGAACGATTATTTAATGACTGACATGAAAGAGTATTAAGTATAAATAAAACTCATGAATTGATTAATGTAAGATCTTCATCAGTTCATTAATACGTTGTATTAAAAATTAGGTGTTGTAAATGATGATTATTATCATCTATTTTTTTTTGTACTATTGATTTGATATATAATCGAATGTTGATGATGTGTTCAGTCAATATTAAGAAAAAAAAACTAACAATTTAACTTCTAATTTTTGAAGATAAAGAAAACGAGATATACTGTAATTGAATATTTATTTTTAGATTGATGAGAATCTTCTTAGTTCAATATCAAAGAAAAGAGTAAAACATTATTTTTCATGGTTAAAAAAACA